CAAGTCCCTCCGGACCCCAAAGCGCTTTACACTTAGTCACTCACCCATTCATACACACATTTACACAATGATGATGGTAAGCTACATTGTAGCCACAGCTGCCCTGAGATGCACTGGTAGTATAGAAGTAGCCAAAAACAATCTTTCTTAATTGTAAATGCTAATCAAAAATTCAAGATGGCCACCACAGCTAATGTTAAAAGGCAAAAATTCAGTCATTTTAAGACGGAGATTAAATTTGTCATGGCGTAGCTAAGAATGGTGTTTGCTAATTTGCAAACTTTAATCTGTAGTCTGCCAGAGATTGGAGTTAATTTAGACCTCGGAATCATGCGAGCTGATTCTGTGTGAGGATTCTAATCATTAACCCAGGTAGCTCAGGAGCCGACCATCTCTGTGTGTCTGCTGCGTGCTGGATGAAAGTTTGAACACTTGCTGATTAGATGCTCTGGAGAGGATTATCAGTGGATAACACACTGGCTGTCATGGTTATCGCCTCGGAATCGAGTCCCCACTTATAGTACGCTCAGCTGTAATTTTGCTCACTGAGCTCAGTTCGGTAAGACGCATATTTTAAGATATCGTCATTTTGTTTTCTCTTTGGAGAAAGGTTCAAGTCTCTCTTGAGTCTCTGCTTGGAACACYTGCACCGTGTATCACTTGCGTTGTGTCTCCTGTCGGAGACAGCTGCYCTGGCTGGATTTTCCTGAGACCTCCTCTCTTTGCACCCACACTCTCAGAAGGCCATAAGTCACCCTCTTTTTACGCCGCCTCCCTCCACCCAAATACTCACACACATGTAGTCATGTCATCGCTGCTCTTGGTCGGCCGTCTCCGCCCTGGGTCGCTCCGTTTCCATGCATTCCCTCCCCCCTCCACTCCTCCGACCCTCTGTCACTACAGCTGTGTGTCAGCTGTCAGCCTGTTRGAATGGAGCTGGAGATGAAGCCGAAACACACATGGGGTCTGCAGGGAAGACGGCCTGGACTCTCTGTCTCTCCCAGCTGTCACTCCCTCCTAAGACTTCCACTTATCACCAGGTTTCCTCCCTCTAGTTTCCCCCACTGGTAGTTGTCTTCAAACGTTTTTAAGTTAAATATGAATAAGGGATGGAGTTGGGAAATGTGTCTCTCTCTTTTATGTGTGCTGCTTCCATTCTTGTGGTGCCATTTTAAAGAAATATTCTAAAAAAATAAATAAAGTACTGAGTAATTTAACTTACTGGGAARATTTTTGCCAAACACTCAGTTTTCTGTTCATGAGAAACTTTTACACATGCGACTTTGCTGTTACTTTATGAAAGCSGTAATGTTCGGCTGTTTGATCTCTTGGGTTCTGAAGATCAACAAATAGTTCAAGAGCTCTACGGTCTTCAAAGACCGAATGAGCTGAATCAACAAATCTAAATTAATTTGAGCACAAGGCCAAAATTGTAGCCCTCATGAAAGGAGGATGTGCTGCAACTTTGCTGTATTCATTACTGTAAGACCGTGATGTTATGAACTGATAATGTAATTAATAATGAGGCACCCTGTTTGTGTCTGCATTAGGGTTGGGCAATATTGGCAAAAAAATTAATCACAATTATTTGTGGTATTTAGCCGATAATGATTAATTTGACGATTAATCCCCCGGAGTCCCTGGACCCCCCTATGTCCTGGTCACATGACCAGTTTAGTGGGAAAGATTTGCTCTTTGTAAAAAATTGTTCCAAATCATGTGAAAATTACAGATTTCAGGCTATACATCATATTTTAAATTGTGTTGATAGATAAATAAATTACAGAATTTTATTTTTAATGTTCGTCACATTTGAAGTGGAGAGGAGCATCAAACGGTGGCAGTAATCGTATTAATCGTCAAGTGCCAAAAATAATCAATTAATGTTRTTCTGARYATTAATTGCACACGATACGATTATGCCCAACCCTAGTCTACATTAAAAAGGCTGCACTGTTGTCACTTTATTATAAATAGGTTTTCATGCTTTTGTATTCAAAATCACTTTATTTTTAGTGTCTGTAACTGCAGTGCTTCATCCATCCATTCATCTGCAACAGTTTTAAAAGACACCGTCTGTTTTGGTTGGTCTCATTTATTTTCTTATTTTTTTGTGTATTTTAAAACCAAATGTAAAACATAAATACAGAATAGTATTGTACAGAACTTTTCTGATTTTGGGTTGTAATTGATAGAGATGCACTGATTCTGGCTTTGTGGGCCGATACCGATATCAGATTTTTTAATAGCTCTGATGATATGGATTTACTTTTAACAGACTAACCCAAACAAAATCATATCCATGGGTTTTTTAGAAAATGGTTATTTTCACAATCAGCAGTAGTAAATATTGACCATAAACAACTTTTATCAACTTAGTTTTTTGTTTATACTGCAGTAGGTTACAGGCCTTATCTCTCTTCAAATAAGTAAAAAATGTCACTTAAATAAGATAAAGTAAAAATAAATCAAATATATGGTGCAGATGTCTGCACAGAAGTAGTGGAAATAAAAAATAATCTCCTTTTGTGCATCATAACTTAAGTCCCTAAAGAAATAGTTTGAAATTTTCATATTCTGTGGAGTTATCGGCAATCAATATTTTACATTCAGTAGATGTTGCTGAAAGCATCGTCTGTTTAGAATTTCTTGGAGCTTCTCATGAGGGACCCGAGTCAACAACTATGGAAAGCCTCCCAGACCAAATACACGTAAACACTTCACGTGACTTTGACACMCAGCACTCAAACGACACGTAAAATGTGTGATGTTAACATGTCAAACGTCAAAATTTCACACATATTTAATACATAAYGTAGATGTTAACAGCCCATTAATACCACAAACTTTGTGTTGTTTGAGGCACAAATTTGCCTGTTTTCATCTCTTTAGGGCAATTTCACTTCCTGTCAGCTTGAGTCGCATCTCTTSTCAATAGCTTTCCAATCAACGACAWGCGTTTGCATGCACCAGGCTTTTTCTCAGAAAAGAAACATGCGCAGGGTTATAAACTATCCTTAAAAGTACACAGAAGAAGTTCTACTTCCATGATGAACAWAAAAATGTTCTGAGCACACAGAATGGACCCACGCCAGGTTTTAATAAGGGTGGAGACATTACTGCACTCCCTGATTGAGGAACAGGCAAAACAATGTATGCTTTTCTAAAAAAAAAAAATTGACGCAATTTGACATGCTGTTTACCCTCTTTTTTACTGAATGAGAATATTAGGAGGAAATAAACGTCCTTGAAAGTTCTGTGCTGCCGGCAACTATATAGCGCTGCTGCTCATCCCTCCACAAAAGACCAGAAATCAGTGGATGAAAGTCAGAAGTCATGTACAGCCAGGTCAGTTTCCTCCAACCAGAATAACATGATCATATTAAGTGTTCACATCCATCCAGTTCAGATTATCAATCGGCATGGACTACCCCCTTCATTTGGATCACAAGTTCATTCAGATTGAGCTGAATTAGATCAGAATATTCTTATTGGGGCATCTACATGACAATTTTTATTCCAACTGGCCTTTTATTTTGATTACTTATGTCCATGTAAACATTMACTGTTTCAGGTTTGGGCTAAACCACTTTAGTAAAGAGAGGGGTGCTTCCCACCTTTCCATGAATATGTTACATGTTGTTGACATGCTGTTAACGCGTAGTTTTTAACATTAATTACACACAAAATATTGACACATATTTAACACATTAACATCACGTATTTTACACATTGTTTGCGTGCTGTATATGCWTCAAAGTCATGCAAAGTTTACATATATTTGGCCTGAGATACTTTCCATAATAGGCTGGCACCTGAGAAACCAGTTCAAGATTATCTGCTGTCTTAAAACAAACATATTCAGTGTCAAGGCGAAAACTGGCCAGTACCGGTTTCAGGCCAGTCGTTTGATGCATCCTTAGCTGGTTATGTTGAATATGTTGTGTGGAATTTTCACCTCACCTCAAGCATTACCAGCTGCTTTTGTTTCTAGAAAATGGAAATYATTAAAATGTACGTACAATAAACAAGTCATCCTTTTGAAACAACCCCGTTTGTCTCTCTCTCTTTGCCGTGCAAACAGCTCTTGTGACCAGATTCCTGTTTGTCTACCTTGAGGTTTTGTTTCTGGTTAGTGACCATTACATTGTTTTTTGCAGCCATGCGTAACATTGCCCACAGGGAAGAACGGCTAAGTGAACAAACAAAAGGTTTCAGGCAATTTAAGAGCGTTGTCCTCTGTGGCAGAGAATGATTCGTTTTGTTGCTTAGTTTGGGGATGTGTTTTCTTTTTTTTACTTTGAAGACTTGCGTGCACAGAAAGCTGTAAAACACTATAAAGAGAAAGGATGAAAAAAAACTCAACAAAGCACAGTTTATTCTTTTTAACTCAAAACACGAACATCTTTCCTTATGTTACTTATTAGTTTCCATTTCACCCGTCTTGCTTTATCTGTTCGGTTTCATTCAGAACATCCATCCATAACCAGGTGCTCCAAATATGCCCCTTCCTATTGAGCGYAAGATGGTTTGAAATAATTTGGAGAAATGATTGGTGTTTCAAACATGGAAAGAATAAAATGCTCTGTGAATAAATTGGGATGGCTAATTATTCCCTCCTCAATTACCATGCTGTTTTGTCCCTTTTTAAAAGTATTGTATCATTGCATTGTTGTTGCCAGAGAGAAAAACAAATTAGTCCGTGAAACAGTTTTTTGTTATTTGGCTTTGTGCTTGCTCCTTAGGGGTTTGGATCAGTGCTCGGCCTAAAAACTGTGGAGTAAAAGCTAATTGTAAGATGTGCAGCATGCTTTGGAATGAGAGGGCATCATTGYGAGAGTTGTGTTATTGATGGTGTTACAGAGCTGCCTCAGGCTGGAGCTGTATGTGTGCATGTGTGGGAGCATTAAAGCAAAATGCTGTGTAATCTGCTGGTGGTTTGGTGCAATTTAAACTATTAGATGGRGCTCTGAAATTGTCTCTTTTTTTTCCTTTAACAGGTATGCCTGTGGTCATCAGTGTGTCTGCGGACACGTAACCAGAGGTTTTTCAGCTGCCATGGCCTCGACAGTCGCGTGGCTGTTGCCTATCGTAGTGATCACGGTTCTGGCAGCGCTGGTTTCATCAGAGGAGCACGAGTGGCACTTTAACCCAGGTAGGATTCAAACACATATGCAGCAGGGAGAATATTCCATCTTTATTATCCGCCTCAACCGTAAGATGAAAGGCAGGCAAAAAGGTTTTTGTGTGTTTTTGTTAGCAACATCTCATGAACCACTGAGTGAATTTTAGTGAAACTTTCAGAAAGTAATCATTGGGAGTCAGGCTTTTAGGTAGGATTTTGGAAGAAGGCATCAACTCTTTAAACCTTCATCTGCCACTTATGAAGTTTATGACATTTGCAGAGAGGGTAACAAAAAACAACTTATGGATGGGCCAAAAACAGAGATTGTGGCAACAAATAACAGCTACTAAAACTGTAACAATGCTACCTACCTCCTCTATCCAAGCTGGTGAAATTTATTSTGTGTCTTCCTCTGGTTCATAAAATTTAAATCCATGCTCAGTGGCTGCTGGCTGCTGGATCGAAGTTTTGCCAYGACCCAAGGCCTGTGCCCACCTTAATTCTGTTGACTAGTAGGCCTTTCTAGTGTGTTTTAGAGCAAAAGCTGCATCTCATCAAGAGACATTAAATTTCAGCAAGCCTGAAGATTGGTACTCTGCACTGTGTGAAATTGTTGCCAAATTTAAAGAAAGTGTCAGAAAACCAGCTCAAACCTGGTGTGGTAGCAGCTGAACGTCCATATTTTTACCCCTACTGACTGCAGAAAACACAACATTGGTTGGAAGTCAGTTTTTTAGATATTGAGGAAAAGTTTGATGTGGTAGCAGAGAGGGATTTACAACACATACTTTGAGTGCCAACAGATCAGATTATTATTGTGTGACTGTGCATAACTTGACTTCAACTCCAATGTTTCTCAACATAGTATGATRTTAGTTTGAAACTCCGGTATGAAAGGCAGCATTTTAATCAACGTTTGCTCTCAGCACATCTCAAGGCTCTTCCACAAACTCAGACATGATTGCATTTTTAAACATTTTCTTCCCTCCGTCCTTCATTTCTGGTCTATCTGACATTCTGTCCACATTCTCAGATCAGTAAAACTTTCTCCATCCACTACCAACAGGCTATCCTGTGTCCTCTCCCTGTCTGCCAGCCTGTCGTCTGTAATAGGAGAATCAGAGAGGCAGTAACACCGACCCACTCTCGCTATTACACACACACACACACACACACACACACACACACACACACACACACAC